CGGAGCCGCCCTCGGCCCTGGTGGGGGCCGGCCACGTGGCCCCAGTGTCGCCCTACAAGCCCGGTCACTCGGTGTTCCCTCTGCCACCCTCCAGCATCGGTTACCACGGCTCCATCGTCGGCGCCTACGCAGGCTACCCGTCTCAGTTCGTGCCTGGCCTGGATCCTAGCAAGTCTGGGCTCGTGGGAGGCCAGCTGTCGGGGGGTCTAGGGCTGCCTCCCGGCAAGCCCCCCAGCTCCAGCCCGCTCACCGGGGCCTCGCCGCCCTCCTTCCTGCAGGGATTATGCCGCGACCCCTACTGCCTGGGAGGCTACCACAGCGCCTCGCACCTGGGCGGCTCCAGCTGCTCCACCTGCAGCGCGCACGACCCGGCCGGGCCCAGCCTGAAGGCCGGGGGCTACCCGCTGGTGTACCCCGGGCACCCGCTGCAGCCCGCCGCGCTCTCGTCCAGCGCCGCCCAGGCCGCGCTCCCGGGCCACCCGCTCTACACCTACGGCTTCATGCTGCAGAACGAACCGCTGCCGCACAGCTGCAACTGGGTGGCGGCCAGCGGGCCGTGCGACAAGCGCTTCGCCACCTCGGAGGAGCTGCTCAGCCATCTACGGACTCACACGGCCCTGCCGGGCGCGGAGAAACTTCTGGCCGCCTACCCCGGGGCCTCCAGCCTGGGCAGCGCCGCCGCCGCGGCCGCCGCCGCCGCCTCCTGCCACCTGCACCTCCCCCCGCCCGCCGCCCCCGGCAGCCCGGGGTCACTGTCATTGCGGAGTCCACATACTTTGGGGCTAAGCCGGTACCACCCTTATGGCAAGAGCCACCTCTCCACAGCCGGGGGCCTGGCTGTGCCGTCCCTCCCCGCAGCCGGACCCTACTACTCACCGTACGCGCTGTACGGACAGAGACTCGCGTCAGCCTCGGCGCTCGGATACCAGTAACCACAGCTCTGCCCCCACCCAGCCCTCCTCTCCCCGGCCCTGTCCCCACTGCCGTGGCCGCTGCAACCTCTGCTAGTCCCTGCCAGGATCCCGCCCAGGCCCTCCCCACCGAACTGTATTTATTTACTATAATGTTAGCTTACAAGCTGGGGATGGCTATGTGTATTAACAGCCCACACGAGTCAATGGTATGCAAAAAAAGGTCCACGTTCCTCCCGAATAATATTAACCACACCGATGACTACCTGACCGCCCTCTCCCACCCTTCCTTTTATTTTTCTTAGGTATCAGTTTTAAATTTTTGTTCCTTTGGGGTTTTTTTTTTGTTGTTGTTATTGCTGTTTGTGTTTGGTTGTTGGGGGTTTTGTTGTTATTTTGATTTGTTGGGGGGTTTTTTTGGTTGGTTTAGTTTTCGGAAGAGGAGGGAAAGTTGGGGTTTTGAAGTTCTATATGTTTAGTTTTCTTATCCTGGGGAGTTTCCTGCATGAGTCTTAACTGTTAAAACTACATCTTCCCCCTTCTCTGATCCCCTTCCTTTTTCCTTCCCTCCATCCCCTGCTTTCCTTTCATGTGAGGTTCTGGTTGTTGGTTTGTTTGGGTTTTTTTTTCTTTTGTACAAGTAACTGATTTTTTATAACCATGGGGAGGGGGGGACAAACAACGACTTTGGTGGAAGTTTTGAGCTTTATCAGGGGAATTCTGCTCTGTGATCTTCCCCTCCTTGATCTCGGCCCTGCCCCCCAAATTACAGCCTTGCTCCCCAGCCTTGCTCCGAGCTGGGAGAGCCTCACCTCACCGGCAGGCTTCCCCCTGGAGTAGCCCAGGGCCTTGGACCGAGCCAGGCGTCCCTCTACCTTCGAGGCCCCTCTCTGATTCACAGCCTGCAGTGGCTGCGCGCTGCTGGGGGCCTGTGGGGCTACTCGTACTCAGTTTAAACGTCCCAGAAGGCCCCGCTGGCGCGAAACTTTACTCTTTATATTTGCGAAGTACTTTCTAGTCGTGTTTTTTTTCCCTCTCTCTAATTGGGGCTGTGGCCCCTCCCCTGGCGGCAGGGGCGGGGCTGCTGATCCTTGCTGGATCCCGCCAAAGCCGACCTGCGTCGCAGACAGCTTGACTGCATGACCTTGTTAGCTCCCCTGGGGACAGGTGGGGACTCCGGGAGCAATCGGGTCGCAGCAGTCTCCCCCCCCCCCGCCCCTCTCCCCAGGCCTGACCCAGCAGTGCCCAAAGGTGGCTGTGGTTTCGGTGGGCTCCCGCGGTGGCTGGGGTCTCCCCCACCTCTTCCCTCCCTCCCGGTCTCCTGCCGCAGCGCTGGGCTGCGGGCCTGTTTGGGGTGGATAGAGCTCTCCCTTGGTAAGACTTATTTTGTTAATAAATGGAATACTTGGCTATATTCACACCGTGGTGTTTCTCTCGTGCCTCAGTCTCCGTCCCGCTTCCAGACACCTAATGACCGTCTGCTTTCACTTTTGTTTAAAATGCCCTAGGGCTTCCTTCTGAGAGTGCTGTTCCAGGACAGTTTAATGCCTTTCCTCAAGAAAAGGAGGAAAACTCCTGCCAAGCCATTGCAAATGACATAAAAAGCAACTTTATTTCCTCTCCCCAACTTGGTGGTTTAGCTCTCAGCCGCACGTCAATGACCTTGGCATTTCCTGGGGCCCGGGTGGAGAGCGTGTGTGAAAGTGGATCTTCCTCTGGGCCCAAAATCGAGATGCACGGGGCTGAGAAGGGAATCAGGACCCGGAGCTCAAGCCGAAAGACTCGCCCCAGCAGGGTCCGGAGCCCGGAGGGAGGGCGGGCCGAGACGACGTGCCTCTGGCGCCACCTGGTGTCAGGAAGACGAGCGACCGGCGGAGAGAAGCCGCGACGGGCTCCGGCCCCAGTGACGTGATCGGCGCTTGGGGTCCCCAGAACGTGGAGGATTTGCTGCGCTCGCGGGGCGCTTGCGCTCTCTTCCGACCTCACGGTAAATGCACCTAATGAGCAGAAGGCTGTCTGTCGAGCGAGGTTCGGGAGCACTCCTCGGCCAGCGCTGGAAACCAGGCCTGGTCTTAGCGCCTTTCTTCACCTGGCTGTTCCTTCCTGAGCGGGACGGTGGATCCCGGCTTCCGCACTCCGGCAGTGGCGGGTCGGGGCACCATTTGTCGGGAGGTTATGTCGCTACGGGTGCTTGATACTGCGCGGAGACGCGCGCAAAGCCTGGCACCCACGCGCTGCCCTCCACCCCCACCTGGGGCCCGCTGCCCGCCGCCTCCTGTGGGCCGGGACCCCGACGTCCCGCGCGCGAGTGCGCGCGCGCCGCCACCTGATGGATGCGGCGCCCCCGCCCTGCGTCTCCTCCTGGTCCCGCGAGGGCGCGCCCCGAGTGCTGTGCGTGGCTGAGCTCCGCAGACCGCGTGCCTCTGACACGGGTGTAGCCGAGGACACGTGGGGATGCTTCCTCTGCCTGGCTGGCTTTCGCGCGCTCGCCAACTCGACGGCAGAACCGCAGGGCGGCTCCCGGCTGCGGCCGCGCGGACGTCCGCCTCGGGGCGCCACTGGAAGGCCACCGAACACGCCAGCCCGAATCTTCCCAGCAGGGCACACCTCCTCCGCGGCTCCGGAGAAAGTCGGGGTGATTCTGCAGTGTCGGGGTGGGGAGGTTGCGCGGACCGCTGGCCCCGCGGGGGAATCGGCACGGGCTCATTTATTGGGATCCAAGTGAGCCCGACTCGTTTAAAGATCTGAACATGTAGATACCCTTCTTCGTTTTTTTAATCTTTGCCCCTATTTTGGTTGCTGTTTGTTCCTCCTTTTCAGTCTATCCCTTCTACTCAAGTTCCTCCTCTTTTCTGCAGACCTTTTTTTTGTTGTTGTTTCTTTTTCCAGGCATTAAAACGGGTAGAAATTGCTCCCTCTGCAGGGAGACTTTAACTTTCCCTGTTTTCCACTTCCTGGTCTTCAGCCCTCTGGAAAGACAGTAGCGGGAGGAGGAGAGTAGGTCCCACAAGCAACTAATTCTCCATACACCAGGAGAAGCCTTTCAGGAGCTGTTTGGCTTACACCTTAGGGGTGAGAATACAGATTAGAAAGCCTTAGACTGGGCTCGGAAGGTGGCTCAGTGGTAGAGCGCTTGCCTTGAGCTGACAGCACCTAGGCCCAGAGTTCAGGCCCCACGACCGGACCCCCCCCCCCCCAAAAAAGAAAGAAAACAAATCCTTAGACTATGGAGTTTCCCCTTAAAATGTTTCAACAATCCTTGGGAACTGGGAAAGTTGTGCTGGGCCCACTTGAACTAAGCTGCCCCTAGCCTTCAGGATGACATCAAGGGCAGGTGATGAATCTGGGGTGCCCTTTGTTCTTATCCAAAACAACAGCTCTCCCCACTCATTCCTGGGGAGAGTGGCTGTTTTACTCAGTTGGTGGGGAGTTTGTTACTTTCAATAGCTTAATTCCCTTTAACCAAAGTTCTCATTTTAATAGGGAAGGTACTTTCCCCAACAACTGCTTATTTACATAATTAGTCCATCTAGCAACTCTTTGTTTTGAGAATCACCTCTACCTTCTATTTCTCTGCCTTTTTCTCTCTGCCGCACTCCTCCCTCCTCTTAAATCCTCCTCTCCCAGGCCCAGAAATGGAGCCTGTGTTCCCAAGACTCCGGGATAGATAACACCAAGCTGGAATTTAAGGCATTGGACCTTCCTGGCTCTTGGTCTTGTTTTCACACATCTTACTGTTATTTTTGTGGCCTTTTTGGGCATCATGGAGAGCAAAAGAGAAGAAAGGAAAAACTCACAGAATTGGGTGGTGTTTTTAACTTACCCAACCATCCACCCATAAGCCTGTATCCTAAGAAATCTTCAATCCCCCAAGGGAAGTGTGGGGCAAGCTCATCACCATCTTGTGTAGCCACAATGGCCTCCTCTCTGGTACACACTGTTCTTACAGCCCCCTCTCAATGCATGTCTGGGTTACAGTGAGATTTTTCTTCCAATAATCCTGCACTTTATTATCCATTCCACTGGGGAAGCTGCACTCTACTTTTCTGTTTGATTTCATTTCAGTCATCCTGTCTTTTTGCAAAATAGATGGTTGAGTGCATCCGATAATGTATGGTTTAATTTGGAGCACTATGGGTTTGAATTACCATTTTCATAATGTGCTGTGCATTAATGTGTTACATCATTTATAAAGAGGAATGTGCTAGGTTTCAAACTTTCTTCTGAAAGCTAAAGTCACCTAAAAGAAACAAAGCCAAATCATATCTACCCATCTTCTTACCTCTCTACCAGAGAAACTCTTGCCTTCTCCAAACCCTGGCTAAATCTCCCAATGCTCATAAAACCCAAGGAGAGTGTGTGTGTGTGTGTGTGTGTGTGTGTGTGTGTGTGTGTGTGTGTGTTCACATAATGCAGGTTTGTGGGGGACTTGCACATGGCTGCCGGGGAGCCATCAATAGCAGTACAAAGCTCCCCCTCATTATTGCCTAACAACAGCTTTGTAGCCAAGCCCACTTGCGTTTGTGGAGACCTCCAGTGGATGGCTCTTGGTCGACCCTAATCCCAGCATTCCCTCCCCAATGGCTATAATAACACCAGCTGTCTGTTACTCAAAGTCTGACTGAGGAGGAAAAAGCACTGATTATCCAAATACAGTCATTAAAGGGGAAATGTGTTTTTAGGACTGTCAGAGTGATTAATGAGGGCTAGCCGTCTTTGCAAATGCACTTGTTTAGTCTAACTGGCAGCTTCTATTTTCCTATTGATTTATTGCAGCCGTTGCCGGGCCTTGCTGTGTGCGAAGTCAGGGCACTTCACAACTGCGCCCTGTTTAAACAGGAAAAGCATGTACCATTTTGTCCAGGAGGACGGAGGGAGGGAGGGAGCAACCTCAAGTCTCCTCTCCAGGGGCCCAGACCAACAAAGGAGACATTAAAACCAGCAACCCAGAGAGGGAAGGAAACTGCCTTCAACTCACTCACTTCCAAGGTCAGTAGAGACCAACTAGCTCACCCCATTGTAACCTTCAACATGTCCCCATTTCTCTCTAGTCCTCTACTCCACCAAACCAGCTGTTAACCCGAAGGTAAAAGCACAGAAAAGGCCCTCAGCAAAGGAAGGGGAACTGATGAGTCCTGGAAGGGAAAAGATCAGAAACCCTGTATGGTCTGGCAAGCAGGGGGCAGGGTACAGTATATTGATCCGTACCTACAATTACTTTCAACTTTTAAAAGTGATGTGTGCCTCTTCCCACTTGACCATTATATGTTTGCATACAGGAAGTATCTGACCAGCAAAACAGAAATGACAGCTTGAAAGAGTTTCATGCTTTGGGGGATTAGATTTCCA